TGGGTAATTCTTCCCCTCTAAAATGATCATTTACCATTTGCTCAGTACCTACACCAAAATCTACATCCGTTCTAATTGGTTCTTCTACCTATCTGATGTCTGAGGTTCGCTAGTACTACCATATTCATAATCAGTTTCCTTGTGATGATACCAAATTTTGTAACTTCGTGTAAATCTGTTCAAATATAGATGAGTCCAAACATCCCACTCTTTTATAACCTTTCTATTTTTACAAGTAGAGCAATGACATCTTAACATACCCGTTTTTGCTTCCGGCTGTCATTGAACTACCGCCATAATGCCTTTTAGGTATTCTTCCGTAAGTAATTTCGTGTCCGGATTCAAATGAGGTCGATCCATCCACGAACTATAATAATTTGAAGAAGAGATGATTTTGTGAACCAGATTCGTGTGTATAAGTGAGAGGATGAGAATATTGAGTGAATGAAAGATGATGGAGGGTGCTTGCATTTATAGATGAAATGTTGCCGATAATTCCGATGAAATTCCCACGGAAACGGAATATACAACGGCTATACAACGGTTATAAATCTCCCTCGAAATTTCGTCGAAATATACAACAGCTAGAAGTGGCCCTCCAAATTTCATCGGAATATTCCGATGAATTTCCGGGGGACATATACATTCGTCGGACTGTTGTCAGAATTTTTGAACTTTTCCAACGGCTCGTTAACGGCTATAATTAATTCTCGGAATGTCCTCGGTATATTCCAACGGAATGTATGTTCCTAGGAATTTCGTCAGAATATTCCGACGAGATTCTGAAGAAACACAAATTTTATGTTTCCTCGGAATTTCGTCGAAATTTTCTGAAGATTTCTTTGGCTGTCGGAAGTTTCCTCGGAATATACCATGTTTTCTTGTAGTGGCTTACGAATCGGAAGCATAGTTATAGGTCAACAGAGACAGTGATTTTGTAATCAAATTCAAATGTGATTCTCTTAAATTTTAATTAAGCATCAAATTATAATTTTCACTAGGATAAAATTTGTACCTTGGACGGAATGAACCGAATGAACATGATTTACAGAAATGATTATTACGTACGTGTCGTCGACCCTCTATAATCAAATATGAAATTTGATCGAAAGCGGTCATCAAAATTTTAGGGGTAACTGCTTTCGCATGTTACGTTTGTGTATGAACGGGGTCGTAACTCAATTACACGTTTTGCTATATATAGTATGTACTATGTAGCGCATTTATGACAAAGGTTCGAGCAGTTAGTTTAGTAAACTTTCACTCGCATTACGGATCTAAATTGAAAATACTATATTTCTATCATTATTGTAAATCTTTCTTTGTCAATTACAGCAATTTAGATGACACACCAAATATAAAATTTATTATATCTATCTATTAAAACTAAATTACAAAACAGAATTAATCTTAATTTCAACAAACTTATTTATCTTCTTTGTTCAGTACTCATCTTATCTACTTTATTATTATTTTTTTCAAATAAGTTGATAACATTTATTATAAAGTACAATATATAACTTACTTTTGAAGTGTTTATTATATTTTTTATTTTTCTTTTTTCCAGTCTTTCAAACTACTTCATTAATTATGTTTAGTATAATAATTTGACGTCATTTACTGTATATATTACTGATAATAATTTCACATGTTTGAATGAAATTGTTCTATTAGTACAAAAAAATTAACTAGTTAACAAAAACATTTTTTTTACATAATCAGTTAAATATAGGCATTCAGATATACGTTCGAATACATATTGGTTTTCTAGGTATCGATTTTTTGGATTTTAAAATTATTCTATTCGAATACTATAATTTTTTTGGATTGGAATCGAGTCAGATTCTTCTAGATTCGGATAGGATCGTAAAAACCTAAAAATATCTTAATGACCTATATCTATATACTTAAAACTATTATTAAATCATTTATAAAAAACGTAAAAACTAATTCCGCACAGGCTCGCGGATCAAACTCTATATCTATATACTTAAAACTATTATTAAATCATTTATAAAAAAACCTAAAACTAATTTCGCGCAGGCTCACGGATCAAGCTCTAATCTTATTTTATTGGTAAGGCTAACAATACAAAAATACAGTGACTATAAATGTATGCATCTCATTATAACTGTATGCAATTTGTTTTACAATGATTTTTAAGTCAAAATATTAAATCTAAATTATTCACTTTCAACAAAACAACATGGTATCAAGTCATTTAAAATCACAAAACAACATGGCTTTGACATTTGCACAGTTCCATTAAAACTACTTTGAATGTTTAAAACTTGATTTTAAATATAAAAATATCCTTAAATTCAATCAAATGCAAAATTAAATCAAAAGGTAGTAAAGTTACAATTACCTTCTACTGACCAAACAAAAATATGTAATTATTTTTACGATTATAATCTTGCAAAGTCTTCTAAGTTAGTGAAGTTTTCTACGAACGTGTAATTAATCAAAAATTATTTATAAAAATTATTTAAAAAATTGATGGAAAATAAATTAAAATCATGTAAACAATTCTAAATGATGTAAATTTTCATTTACTAAAATTTTAATTTTCAAGTTGAGTGAATATATGTTGTAAGTCATATATGTTTACTTTTTCTTATAGTGTAACAAATTGACTCTAATGTTTTAATTTATCATGTAAATTGTAATTTGATAAAATATAAGAGAATCCTATGAAATATTAATTCGTTTGTTGACAAAGAGCATCTAAAACTCCACTCTATAATCTAGTGCAAAACAGAGTGGAAAATGAAGTGATGAAAAAACAAAAAATCTATTACTGCATTTATAAAATGATGCTCTAAAAGATTTCAAACATCAACTGATCACTAGCAGAAAATAGTGGTCACATGTGCTATGCTGAGTCAATGTGATAGCTTATCGTGCTCCTCTTCTTTCTTCATTGTTTTCTCATAATCCTTTATTTGTGCGTAAGTGGCGACCACCATTACTGGCCCATTTGTACGCAAAATATCTTTAGTAAGATAAGATAAGATAAAATCAATTATCTTAAAAACTATCTGTCAAGACTATATGTTGTCAGTTTAAAAAAAAAAAATACTTACCATTCAAAGCTCTTCAAATGGAATACTTATAATATCTCCATCGAACCAAATGGATTAAAATGGAATTCGCTCATCAAAACCTTCACATCAACCCCTCGACTATTTTCAATCGAAGAACCGGCGTCACAAGAATTCACGAAAATCAAAGAAGAAATGACAACAAAATCATGTGCTGACTTCCACACAGATTTCCTACAAAAATGTCATAACCCGCTTTGGCTAAATTCAGAGTTCTTCGTCACATTACCATTCAAAGAAAACGTCGACACAACACCAACAAAAGCAAGTCATGCAGGAATGCCACCCACCTTGCTAAAACAAGCAAATGAAGAATGTGATCAGCTAGTGGAACAAGGAGTCGTTTCATCAACAAACTCTCCATGGGCGTGTAAAGCATTCTATGTCAACAACCGTGCAGAACAAGCAAGAGGAAAACTCAGATTAGTCATTGACTACAAGCCGCTAAATCAATACCTACAAGACGTCAAATTTCCACCGCCAAATAAAAAGGCGCTTCTTCAACACCTTCTAGGAGCTACAATATTCTCGAAATTCGACCTCAAATCTGGATTTTGGCAACTTGGAGTTCATCCCGAAGAAAGATACAAGACTGCATTCTGTCTACCAGATAGACATCTTCAATGGAATGTCCTACCTTTTGGGCTCAAGACAGCACCTTCACTGTTCCAGCAAGCAATGCTTCGTATATTCAAGCCTATACTCCACACGGCCCTAATATATATAGATGACATACTTCTATTCTCGTCGACCGAAAAAGAACACGTCCAACTTCTTCAACAGTTCCAAAGCATAGTACTACAATATGGGGTTATGCTCTCGGCCCGAAAGATGGTCATAGCCCAGCCCAATATCGAATTTCTTGGAATGCATATCGAAAATGGAATTTTCTCACCTCAAGCCCATCTAGCCACAACACTCCTCGACTTTCCCGACGAAAATCTCACAAAACGACAAATCCAGCAATTTCTTGGCGTAATCAATTACGTTGGCGACTTTATTCCGCAACTTTCGCAGATGACAAGACCGCTACAGAAGATGCTGACAAAGAATCCACCACAATGGACTAATCGACAAACCGAAGCTGTCAGAAACCTAAAAATAGAGGTGCAGAAGCTACCGCCTTTAAAGATCCCCTCAACCGGCATGCGTATCTTACAGACTGACGCGAGTGACAAATATTGGGGAGCAATTTTATTTGAAGAAATAAATGGAAAACGTCAAATCTGCGGGTACAAAAGTGGATGCTTTAAAGATTCCAAATGCACTATCACTCCACATTCAAAGAAATCTTAGCAGTCAAGAAAGCCATTGAGAAGTTCGAGTTCCATCTAATTGGACATAAATTTCGCATCGAGATGGACATGTCATCTTTTCCAAACGTGTTACAATTCAAGCAGAAGATGGTCCCACATCAACAATTATTAAGATGGAGCGAATGGTTCTTGAAGTACGATTTCGAATCCGTCTATTTAAAGGGATCAAAGAACACTCTTGCTGATATGCTCAGTAGAAACCCAGTTAAAGAAATACAAATAACGGAGAGCTCCTCTGAAAAAGCTTCTATGACTTCACAGCAAACATGCCAGAAGACGCTCATGAACTCATCACCAGAAAAACCTTCCATGAACACCTCCTCAACAAGATTTTTCGCTACCAATCCATCATCCTGACAAAATACGGTCCGGAAAAACACTACATCTCACCAATGGGAATTCATCCCGATTACCCCTTCGCACACCTCTGCAGGATCGAAACCGTCTACGTGCCAGAAGAAGTCATATGTTTCCTCTGGTACCTCTGCTCGGTTTTCACCATAGGTATGATGCTCGACATATTGTGGGTATACCAATACATAAACGCTCAACTCTCCAACCCCCAGCGTGAACGCAAAGAATGTCTCGCAACATTTCTGTCATGGTTTGCTCCACTATCTGCCTGGAATGGAAAGCTGAGAAAATCTGCAAAGGCAACCGGTATGTCATTCAAGAGATTAAAAGGTCAAGGAGGACCTAACCCTTTCTTTAATCCTCACACCATCTACTTCTTCCATCGTCCTGTTTAGATCAACGGCAAAACCGGCAAGATTCATGCCCTACCAACACTCATCCATCACAAAGACATCAAACTTTACGAAGAATTCCAGACTCACGCATTTCGACTCAATAACGCTAGGCAAAACTTTACCATTCCGTTCACCCCGAATTGGCTTTACTATCCAATCGACTATCAAATGAGCCTCGACGAAGATCTCATGTTCTACGGTGAAAGACGACGACTTGCCTCTTACGAACCAAAGCCAATGAAGCAAGAACCTCAGGAACCACAAACTCAAGAATGTCCGCCAGAATATTTCCAAGATGCGCAACTCCCTGATGACTCTATGAATATAGATGAAATCAGTAAGATGTTCGATATTGATGTTAACGACGATTCGCAGAAGACTTATGAAGAACCAGAAGACGAATACATATGCCCAGATGATCACTACGGATGCTGCGAAAAACACATCATCGAGTTCGAGATAGACCACTAAAAGGTCATTAAGTTATGTTTAAATAATGTGCCAAAATTATGTGTGTTTTATTATGTAAAATAATTATGTCCAATAATGATGCAAGCATGATGTAAGCGATGATGTAATCACAGTGGCTGAGGTAAGCGCTTATGTCAGCGCCTTATCCTCTCCCCTATAAATATGTGTGTACCCCCTTGTATAATAATCATCAAATAATTTCCATAAAAACCTCTCTCTTGTTTTATCTCTCTACAATGTCTTTCTAAGTTCTCTCTAGTTTTCCAGAACTTAACTCATCTCTTATGAGCTTAGATTTCTATTCTCCTCTCGCAAGTTCCGATCATGCCACTTGCAATTCCTTAGCTTGAGAAGATTTGTCAATACGACTCTGTCAACACGACTTTCGTGGGGAGGCAATTTCCTAACAGTGGGTTGAGCAAATCGAGAGCCCTAAGTAGTGGCCAATATCGCTCCCTTTACCTGGAAATTGCAGACCCTCGTCTGTCAACACGACTTTGTCAATACGACGTCCGCTCTTCGCTGTGCAAAATGGTATCAGAGCTTAACTCATCTCTTATGAGCTTAGATCTGTCAACGCTGCATCATCAAATAATTTCCATAAAAACCTCTCTCTTGTTTATCTCTCTACAATGTCTTTCTAAGTTCTCTCTAGTTTTCCAAAACTTAACTCATCTCTTATGAGCTTAGATTTCTATTCTCCTCTCGCAAGTTCCGATCATGCCACTTGCAATTCCTTAGCTTGAGCAGATTTTTCAATACGACTTTGTCAACACGACTTTCGTGGGGAGGTAATTTCCTAACAGTGGGTTGAGCAAATCGAGAGCCCAGAGTAGTGGCCAATATCGCTCCCTTTACCTGGAAATTTCAGACCCTCGTCTGTCAACACGACTTTGTCAATACAACGTCCGCTCTTTGATGTGCAAAATGGATATCGCTCCCTTTACCTGGAAATTGCAGACCCTCGTCTGTCAACACGACTTTGTCAATACGACGTCCGCTCTTCGCTGTGCAAAATGGTATCACAGCTTGTCGAGTGTTCTAAAGACGTATTGCTGGATTTGACCGATAGAAATGTCTTCGATTGTTTGTCCTTGATCTCTAATGTATAACTTGGTTTGTTGACTAAGATAGTCATCAATGGAAGAGAGGTAGACATGCTTCAGGCTAGGATTGTTGAGGCCGTTAAGAGCATAGTATCTTTTTGTCTGTCTCTCAAAATGTTTTGCGAGATCTTTCATTCTTAGAGAACAACATTTTGCCGAGAAGAATTCTTCTTGTAATTGCTCCTTTTGGTGTGTTGGCGTACCAATAGATTCTCTGTGAATCTCCCCGAGAAGCAGTGGTATAGTTGTCTGATAGACATGTTGTTGTCTGTATTCACCGAGAGAATTCCACCATTCTTTGAGTGCTCCTGACAGACGGGCAGTGAATTGTTGTATGACCAAGTGTAGAGGAGATGTAAGGGCTTCTGAGTTCATCCATGCATGAAATCCGTCTAGACGATCATTCCATTTTTCAAAAGGAATATCATCGAACGTGAATACCATGACTTTTGAAGCGAAGTGCTTTGTTGTCGGTATCTCTGTTCTAGGTGGCGGCACGAATTTCATATCTTCATCGCTTGAATATACTTCGTTGATACTTGGTTCTTTTTTCGGAGTATACGAGCTTTCTCAATTGCGAATTGTTTTGGCAGAGATTCTTCGTAGGAGTCGATCTCATAGTCACTCGAGCTTGCGTCTGAAAGATGTTCAATTTTTGCAATAGGCTTTTCAGATGAGGACTGTGTATCCTTTTGGATTTTTGACGACTGATCAGATATCTCAGAGTTTTTGCCAAGAGTGTTGAGTAGACTGGTCATCGAAAACTCGATTATTCCAATGTCTTTTCCCTTATCCGTGTTTGGCTTCTCGTCAACAGACTCGTGACTGGAGGATGAAGTAAGAACAGGTCTTTTATTCGGATTTGCTTGGGAATCTGACTCCTTTTGTCTTCGAGGTTTTGAGGGCGTTTGTTGTTGCTGTGGATAGATGATAGATGTTGATCCATAGCGAGATGTGAAGATTTCATCGGATGAGAGGAAACCAGGTAGTGGAGTTTTTGCCTTTTTCGTTTGGTCGCCAGAGAAGAATCCGGGGGAATATGCTCCGTGGTAAGTAGGCATTCCTGGTGATATGTAACTAAGGGGATCAAAGTAAATATCTGAACGTCGTTGATTTTGAACCATGCTCTCTAGGCTTTTATTGAGATCTCTTAGTTGATTCTTCAGGCTTGCCATCTCTGCTTCTTTGTTGCGGAACTGGGTAGTGTTCACCATCATGTTTTGCGCCATGGCCATCATTTCATGGTGAAGATTGTTAAGTCTTCCATGTATCTCGGTTATAGAACTTTGAAGGCCGTGTAACCTCTTTTTGCAATTTTCCGCCAATTTATCAACTTTGTTATTAATGGTAGATAAAAGTTGATTTTAGGCAAGAGCGTTCTCTGTCTGCCAGTTGAGAACTTTCTCTGCTTGACTCAGCTGATCAGGACCAGAAGAGTTGATGGCTTGAGAGAGAATCTTTGGGCAATGAGCGACATTATTTTTTGTGAAGTCTTCTCTTGGGGGAAAGTCGTCTGGATCTATCATCATAAGTTGTTTCGGCTCTTCCTTCCTTTCAGAATATTGCACGATGAATTCGTATCTATCATCGCCTAGTGGACTGACAGTAGGATCTCCTTCAATGTATCTTTTGTAGAGAGGATCTTTCTTCATTCTTCGTTTTGTTCGGTCATCTTCATCAGATTCGTAGTATGCTTCTTCGCAAGCTGGGCAGTTGCAAACATCAAAAAATATGTGGCCAGTCTCTTCGTCTTTGAATGGGTAGATTTCCCCTCCGTCTTGTTTGAACTCAAGTGGCTTAGGGTTTTGTGGTCTTTTACCGATCTCGCCGTTTCTTTTGTCTATTTGTATAGTGAATTGGGTGAACAATTGCTTTCGGAAAGATGACGATCTTGGCTTTTCGAATTTAATTTATGTTGTTCCGTCGTTTCGTGAATGGAAGGTGACGTCTGATGATTGGATATTAGCTTGTGTGGCTTGATGAAACTTTTCATAGCTTGTTACCCATGATTCTGGAAGCTGGCGTATTAACTCTTCACGCGTTATTTGACGAGGAATTTGTATTGAGTTGAGCGCTTGAGACGCTGATGTGACTTCGAGGTAGAGTGCTTCATCAGAGGAGGGTAGGACGAGGTCAAGAGCATGATCTTGAATCCGGTAGACAATTTGATGATGCAGCGTTGCTATCACACTTTTTTCTTGCATCGGTGCTCCAACTAGTTGAAGTTGAACTTTGAGGGTCTTCAAGAGATTTGGGTCTTTTAGTGAAATATTAAAATTTGGAAACAGTGTGACAAATACTGTTCCGGCATTTAGTGTCGTCTGAACCGTTCCGATGCACGCTTGTTGGTATGACTTTAATCGTGAGTCGATTAGAGCTATGCGAGCAGTGATTGGTAGACCTTTTCTGGCGTGTAGGGTTAGACCAAGTCGCACAACTCCAAAATGGAGGTGAGTGAAGCCTTGTTGCTGCCACATTCTGGGTAGATCCGGTGGGATGTTGAGAGAAATAAATTGTTCTTCTTCTGTTGCTGGAACTTGGCAGGATGAGAACTTGCTGGATTGAATATACTCCATAACCTTTCGGCTTGAAGATGGTGATATGAGTTCGCGAACCCCTTTGACGGAGAAGGCACTGGGTTTTTTAGAAAAATATTCATAAGGATTTACTAAAGGGAGAGTAGTTTCTGGTATTGCTTGCCAAAGCATTGCTTGCTGGAACAGTGAAGGTGCTGTCTTGAGCCTAAAAGGTAGGACATTCCATTGAAGATGTCTATCTGGTAGATAGAATGCAGTCTTGTATCTTTCTTCGGGGTGAACTCCAAGTTGCCAAAATCCAGATTTGAGGTCGAATTTCGAGAATATTGTAGCTCCTTGAAGGTGTTGAAGAAGCACCTTTTTATTTGGCAGTGGAAATTTAACGTCTTGTAGGTATTGATTTAGCGGCTTGTAAGATTTATGGGTTAAAAGATTTCGCAGTAAGATTTAGGATTTCTCACTAAGGTATACTAAAATAAACTAGAAAGGTTTCTTTAGTCATGCATTACTGATCAAATCAACGATAGATGTCGATAAATGTCGATAGTTGTTTCAAAACTATATAATTATGCTCCATGATAAGGGTCCTGATACTCCACGGAGTGAGTGACTTTCTTATTAAGTATGATTCTTCCAGTTCAACATATGATCAATTTTTACCATTTATTAACTGAATTTAAAACTCAAATTTTCAATCCCCATATCTAGATATGCTGGTTCACCTTATTTTTTTTCTTTAGGATCAATGCACTTATCACCAATTAATTTTAAGTGTACTGATCCTAACTTTTTATATATTATTTAAGTTCATGTTGAATTTTTGGCTTGGGATACTTTATCTCTAATATCCATAATAATATTGAATTCTAGTTTATTGATATTTTATTTTAAAATAAAAATAAAACAAAATGATGAACAAAAATTAAATGAAATAACTTTATTTATATAAATAGAAGAAGTCCCTTATATAGTAAAGCACAAGTCACCTGACAAATCAAAATTTGACACATCATTTGTGTTCTCAAATTAAAAAAAAATTAAAGAAAGAAAAATGTTTAGAGAAAACACGTGGCATCATCGGTTCCTCGAAATAACCCACTACCCACGACTAAAAACAGATAAGAGGATGCACTACCATAAACTCACAAAGAACTTTACTTCATCCTTCCTTGCCCTCCATGGCCTCGCTTGCATCATAGTTCTTCTATTTACTAGATTCTAAGTTGCCTCAGTTACTAGATTCTCTATTATACGTGATCCTTATTGCAGAAATTGTTTTTAAGAAGTCAATGGATTATTCTCATGTTTCTCAACTGAAGCTTGCTAAACAGAATGGAGGATGAAAAGCTTGAACGCT